CTATCTGTGAAGCACAGCTTTGTCCACCTTCAACTGCACCCTTGTCACTAATGAATAAAATCCAAGGTAGGGGCCCGTTTGGCTCAGTGGTTAGAATGTCGGCCTGTGGACCAAAGAGTTGCGGGTTCAATTCCGGTCAAGGGCACGTACCTCGGTTGCGGTTCATCCCTGGCCCTGGCTGGGGTTGTGAGGGAGGCAACCAGTCAATGTGTCCCTCTCACATCGATATTTCTCTCTCTCTCTCTCTCTCTCTCTCTCTCTCCCTCCCATTCTATCTGAAGATACATAGAAAAATATCCTCAGGTGAAAATCCAAGGTAGGTCCAATCTATTCACTTCTTTATTCACTAGTTCCTTCATATCATCCCAACCTGTACATTTTGAGTATTTCTCTTCTCATTTTGATGATGATGATGATGATGATGATAGCAGCTTCTATTTATTGAAACTTCTGCATGCCCAACAGCCACTAAGAAGGCATTATTGTCCCTTTCTGCAGATGAGACAGTTGGGGATCAGGAAAGGCTAATTATGGCCACTAGCTAGGATTCAAATCTATGTCTGTCTACCTCTAAAGCTTGTACTTAATTGTTACTATTTTAAAAATTAAGCTGCATGAAGAGACTAGGAAGACTTCCAAGAACAAGGGTATAGCATCTTCAGTGTGTTTTCTAGGAGCTTCCTCATTCCAAAAGTGGACATCAGGATCTTAATTTTTCGAGGTTAAAAAAACAACAACAAATCAACCTTGACTAGAGAAGGCAGCCTGGCGGTTGTGTCTGGTTGGAGGAGAATTCTAGCAAGGCCCCAGGGTATCCCAGAGGATTCAATCTGCCACCTTTGACCCCCATACAGAAAAAAGATAACCTACATGCTAAGCAAAGCAAGAGAGAACATAGAAATGTGTGCATGTGTGTTGGGGGTGGCACATGACACATGGTTCTGTCCTCCATAGCATGACTGTTATGAGGGAGAAGGATCAGTTTGGGAGTGTTCCCTAAGTACAGCAGGTAATGGTAGTATCTCCCCCTACTTTCCTGAATGGAAGGATGGTTTGGATTCCATACTTGACACCTGGGGTAGGTCATTTATTCTCTGAAAGTTTTAGTTTCTCTTTCACGGATTTCTAACTCCTAAATGCCAAATACTTAATCTCTGAATAATTGTTGAGATACCCAACAACTTAGGTAATGTACGTGAAAGTCACACATGTGACAGATTGGGGCAGTCAGGGACAGATGTACATGTGGATGTCCCAGGCAGGCCACAATTTGGAGCTCTCTTAAAGCAATGTTCTCTACCTACTTGTTCAACATTTCTTTGGTAGGAGCTAAGAGAAAATAATTTCTATAATGATCAAAATAAGAAATTTATTCTAACATGTTCAAAATAAGGAATTTATGCCATGCACTGAATGACATAACATTTAAACTTATTGGGAATTATTTTTCATTTAACTTAAAAAATCCCCAATAGCTAGATCATATTAATTATCTACACTGAACTAAACATGAATATAGCCATACAATCTTTCAAATTGTGTTGAAAAATTCTTTTCTGACTGGTCAAACTATCTTCACTCTTTTGCAATTTCTGTTTTCTAGTTTTAGGTGTTTTTTAAAAATTTAAAAAATTTCTAAGCCAGGCCCTGGCCGGTTTGACTCAGCAGGTGGCAACCACTCGATTTGTCCCTTTTACATCAATGTTTCTCTCTCTTTCTCTCATTCTCTCTCTCTCTCTCTCTCCCTCCCAACTCTATCTGAACAAAAAACGAAAAAATGTCCTCGGGTGAGGTTAAAAAAATTTTCTAAGCCAGACATTTTCCTGGGAACTTATATTTAGTTAATGTAATAAAGTACAGTATCGTGCAGCAAACAGTACTATATTGTGCTTTATTTAGCTTTGGGATTTTAGCTGAAGAAGACAGCAAACTTGAGGAGACTGTCAGCTGGCTGATCTCAGGGATGGCGGTTTTGCCTGTAATTATGTTGCAAAAATATCATCAGAGATAGGCTGGCACCAGGGAGGCATGTTTTTAAATGTCCACTGGAAGATACTGTTTATGTCAGTAGACAGTTACCATTTTGCAGTAATTCAAGGTGTCTCATGAACAAAACTAAGATAACAGGCACTATGTTTCTGATCATGTCAGGAATGTTTTTACGTTCTCTATACAGGGCACCTTGGCCAGCTCTTTCATCCGGCTGCAGGCATGGTGGGAAGGCCCTGGGCTGAGAGAAACCTGGTTCTGAACATAGATCCTTGGGCAAGACATTGAACTCCTCTGAGCCTCAGTTTCTCCCTTATAAAATGGTGATAATATCTACTTTGCAAATACTTTTGAAGTTGTAAATGAGGATATTATTAAAAAGTTGTACAGTATAATATACTGTATATTAAAACATTATACAAATAAAAATCAACATGCAATTTTCCTTTTTCCATTAACTTTTAATAGCCTTATAACACATTGCTGCTTTGAAGAGTAAGTCCCAGAGCCCCCGCTTGTTATACACCGATTCCCTCCCTCCCTCCCTCCCTCCCTCCCTCCCTCCCTCCCTCCCTCCCTTCCTTCCTTCCTTCCTTCCTTCCTTCCTTCCTTCCTTCCTTCCTTCCTTCCATTTTTAAAGCCAGAATTTATTTCTATTTAAAAATGCTCAAGAGACTTTTAAAAGGCCCAAAGCCCCAAGGCATCCAGGTTTAATTTAAGATCATCCTGAGGTGGTGTCCATCGGTTTCTTCATTACTGAAGCATCAACTTGATTCTTGTTAATGGAACACTCTGTTAATTGTAGTTGGGTTGTAATTATTTCCTCTGACTCCTGGTATCTTTCCTAAAAGGCCATCAGCTCATGAACAATGAAAAATGTAATACCAGAAATAATCACACAATGTCTGCAGATTGGACTCGAATATCCTTTCTGCATTATTCTTCCAACCAGTTCCAATGATTATCAATTTGAGTACCGGAGATCATGACGTGTGTCACTGCAAAGACTGGTATTAAATGCAGCTCTTTCAGAACAGAAAGCAGCAAATTCCCTTCAAGAGGAAACACCTTACAACGCCAATTTCTTAAATGTTCTCACCAAAAGAAAAAAATGGCAGGGAGGTAAATATGTAAAGAAACGAACTCATTAATTAACTCGACGGGGGAATCCTTTCACAGTGTATATCAAATCATCACCTTATACACTTTAAATATCTTATGATGTCAGTTATACCTCAATAAAGCTGGGAAAAAAAGACTGATTAGCACCACCGGTGTGGCTCAGTGGCTTGAGTGTCTTCCCATGGACTGGGAGGTCCAGGTTCAATTCCTGGTCTGGGCACATGCCCGAGTTGTGGGCTCGATTCTCAGTGGGGGTGTGCAGGAGGCAGCGGATCGATGTTGCTCTCTCACATCAATGTTTCTTTCTCTCTCTCTCTCTGAAAAATCAATAACAATATTTAGCAATAATAATAAAAAAAGGCTGTCCGCTGGTGTGGCTCAGTGGTTGAACATCGACCCATGCACCCAAGAGGCCGTCTGTTTGATTCCAGGTCAGGGCACATGCCCAGATTGTGGGCTCGATCCCCAGTAGGGGGTATGCAGGAGGTAGTCAATCGATGTTTCTATCTCTCTCTCCCTCTCACTTCCTCTTTCTCTAAAATCAATAGAGGAAAAAAAAGGCTGATTACTGAGATGGATAATGGTCAGTGTTCAGCATATGCTACACAATACTGTCATGTCCTGTGGGGGATGTGTCCTGGGTCCAGTGGTTCCCAGCACAAGCCTTGGAGTCAGCCAGGCCTGGGTGGGGCTGCATTGTGACTCTGCTGTCACAAACGTGTGTCTGCCTCATAAATTCTGGTGTTGTCACCTCTGTCCTCCAGACTCCAGTCCTATGGAACTATTTGCAGTTCCCGAATGAACCAGGCTCACTTCCCTGCTTAGCTTATTGTTCCCAGTACAGACGGTTCTTCCTTTGCCCACTTTCTAACTCCTGTTCTTCTGGGCTTCCTCCAAGACTTACCTGATCCTCAAGATTTGGCCAAGTATCCTTTCCCTCTGCCTGCTCCCGCAGCCACTCTCCATTTACCCTCTGGCCAGTGTGCTGGCACTGCCTAGTCATTGGCCTCCCCCCCTCACTTTAATACTGACTAGTGTTTTGGGGTTTAGTATGTGCTGGGCAGTGCTTAGTGCTATACGTGCACAATCTCACTGAAGTCTCCTAATAATCGGAGGAAATAGGTTTTAGTACAGACGAGGAAACGGAAGCTCAGAGAGGGTAAAGAACTTGTCCGAGCTCACATAAATACCAGCAGAAGAGCTGGGACTAGAACCAAGGCCTGACTCCAAACCCTCTGCAGTCAACTGTAAGTGTCTGAGGGCTTACAGTGAAGACATATAGTAAGCATTCAGCAAGCAACAGTTATTATTTTGACCCAACCAGATTGTAAGCCTCTGCAGGGAAGGAATCTTAACCCCTTGGCACAATACCCCAGCCGAGGCCGAGTGGAGAGCAAGGCCACTGCCTTGGCTTCTGGGATATGCCCCAGAGCACCACTGATGGTTTCTCAGTAAATGACTGATGTGTATTTTCTATCACACATCCCTGGATTTAAAGAGGCTGCATTTCTTGCCACACTTAGGCCCCTTCCCATGTCTGAGGGAGGAGGTGGGACTACAGAGGGGCCTAAAACAACAGCTGAAGCTGCCTTTTTTTTTTTTGGTTCATCTTCACCCGAGGATATTTTTCCATTGCTTTTTAGACAGAGTGAGAGGGAGAGAGGGAGAAACATCGATGTGAAAGAGATACATCGATTGGTTGCTTCTCACCCAACCCCGATCAGGGCTAGGGATCGAATTTGCAACCCAGGCATGTGCCCTTGACTGGGGAGAATCTTTGACCCTTCGGTCTGTGGGCCGACGTGCTAACGGCTGAGCCACAAGGCCTAGACGTGAAGCGGCTCTTTGATGACACATAGGAACCACCAACCACCTAAATAAACGTCCTCTTTATTTACCAAATATAATTTATCAGTTATGTTGACATTTGTCAATTCAGTTATAGTAACTATAAATAATTCTCTTAAGACACAGTTCTGTAACTTTTTAAGGATACAAGAGTAAACCGATGTCGCTCCTTGCAGCCAGGCCGAAAAAGTACATGCAGTTTGTACAATCAGGGGAGAAGAAATGAATCTTCCATGAAAGTCAACTTCATTTTCTCACCTCACAGTCCTCCCTCTGCTCCCGCACTCAGGGCTGGGGACACGCCTACCTTCCTGCCTTTTTGGCAAAGGAAGATGCTCCAGAGTCTTCCAGGGCAGGCTGGCTGAACTCCAGAGATAAGGAAGGGTGAGTGGCTGGGCAGGTGACTGGGGATCACAGGGCACAGCCTCAGGGACAGAGGAGTTGGTTTTGGTGCCTGTACAAGAAGAATCTGTGTGCAAATGTGTTTGGAGGTGGGGGACAAGATGTAAGGCCTGAGGAGCAGAAACAAGCCCAGGCTGATGTTAATGAACTCTGTTGGACACAATTCCAACTAGATAACCTCTACGATTCCTTCCGATTCTAAGGTTCTAGACTCCACTAGGTGGCCTGGGTGGAAACAGAGGGAGAGAGAAGACAGAGTCTGGAGGTATAGGGTAAGTTCCTGGATAAGGCGTGGTGTTGGTAAGAGACAAGGTCGTTCCTTGGCCTTTCCCTGGAGGTGGGTCCCTTAGGTGACAGAGGGGGTTTCTGGGAAGGCTGTGGATAGAGGCTAGAAAAAACCTGCATCCAAACACCCAGATTTGTACACATGTAAGTGTGGACAGATTCTCAATCTGTTCAGAATAACATGTGGGTGAGATACAGAGACTCCAGTGTTCTCCCAACCTTGTGCTAGGCAGAGAAATGTAGAGGCAGCTAGTTGATGTCTAGTCTACTAGTTCTGAATCCTTTTTTTGGGTGGCTGGTGAGGAGAGGTGGTGGACAGAAGGGTCATTTAGAGAAATGAACACTGAGTCCATGGGGCTGAGAGCTCTCGCTTCGGTCAGGTGGGCCTAGGAGGGAGATCCAGAGGCAGAACCTGGCTTGGTGATACAGATGCAAAAATAGCAAGAACAATTTTTTTCTGCCAGATTGAAAGGAGCACGTGGCCTTCTTTTTCTGGGGAATGAGGTGAGGTTAGAGCTGTATTTCCCTTACCACTGGCTAGTCAGTGCCTGGGACAGTACCTAACATGTAGTAGGCACTCACGAATGTTTCTGACCATGCCTGTGGAGGTGCTGTATACTTGCTGAATGAATGAATGAATGAGTGAATGAATGAATGAACAGTGAATGTGGGCAGAAGCCAAGAGAGAGGACAACTGATCTCCATGACATGACAGAACGAGTGATTTTAGGAAGTGACAGTCGATGTCACCATGTGTCCTCAGGAGAAACAGCAGCAGTGAGACACCCCTGGTTGCCCTCAACCCCCCAACCATTCTCCACGTACCCATTCCCGTCCCTAATCTTGGAACCCAACCTGGCAAGCTCTGGGGAAGGTAGTGCTTAGAGACCATCAGAGATGATGGTTGAACAGAGATAAAGAATTGGTCCTCTGGGCCCAGAGAGGATATTGATCTTGGCAAATGTGTGGGTGAATATGGGTCAACAAGGAAACCAGGCCACTGCTCATTTCTCCCTGGATGTGACCAACAATTGCACAAAGGTCATTGGGAGGGGTTGGTGGTGCTTACCAGCAACTGGTAAGGGGCATGTGCACAATTCTAACAGTCAGTCCATCTTACTCTTTTTGAAAGCAGAAGGGCCTAGGTCCAGAGGGCAGAAAACAGGGCTAGGATTATACGAAGCCAAGAGCAGTTGTCTCCTGCCTTGAAGTTGGTCCATTTCTAGAAAAAGTGTATGCATGTGTGTGTGTATGTGTGTGTGTGTGTGTGTGTGTGGTATTTATCCCTCTGTTCAACCAAAAAAAGAAAAAAACACCAGAGTCCACTCACAAAGGGTTTCTCATTAGGGCCAAGACTTCGTTTGCTAAAGCATGTTCCCAGATCCCCGACAGAAAACCCTGCCCCAATCCACCTCAACTGGAGGCACCCACCATGAAATTGCACTTGGTGATTGTCTCAAAAATCTACTTGTACTGCTTGTTTCAGTCCCTCTGGCTCAATGTATAAAAATTCCCATTGAAAATAATGAGAATTCGGTATCAAAGTGAAGTCCTAGAAAGAGGTGGGAGTGTGGAGTGGGGTAGGGAAAGGGAAACAAAAGACAAAATTCAAAAAGAAAGTGCGGAGGGTGGGGAGAAGGTTGAGTGACCAGGCTAGTCCCCGACGTCCGTGTCTCGGTCCCCAATGAGCCAGAGGACATGGAAGCTGAGTGCTAGGAGCCCAGTGCCAAGCAGGTCCCCCAGAGCTGTCAAGTACGGGATGGAGAAGTTGTCCGGGTCCAGGCCCCGGCCCCACATCCAGTGCACCATCCAGTCAGCGATGTACAGGAGAATCAGCACCTGGAGAGACAGAAAGGGTCAGCCTATAGCCATCCCTCTCCAGGGGGAGCCAAAGGCCACTTGATGGGACCCATTCACTGCATCACAAGGCTTGGCTCTTGGCAGTCCTTATGCAGGGACAGTTCATCTTTCCACATGGTGATCTCTCTGTGCTCCTCCACCCTACAATTATCACCTTGAACAGATGACAGGCATAATGTGAGCCCTTTAGAAAGGAAGATGCTCTACTCCCTGAGGTCGTGGACATCAACATTACATTCTGCTCCCAAATTGACCAAACGAGGGGCTTCTTGACTGAAATCCTACGTGCCACAGGAATTTAGCCCTCTTGCCTCTAATTCTAGGTCATCCTATTCTCTGGTCACTTCAATTCCTGCCATGTTGGCCTCTCCAGGGGCCCGACAGGGGGCTGGGATTGGAGTTGGCTTTTCATAGAGGGATTTCTCCTGGGAGCAGAGTGGAATAAGGACAGTGTTTGAGGCTGCTGCCAGCACCGTCGTCTGAGTAACAGCTGATTATCCCAAGCTGGCTTCCTCCTGACCCTTTCCACTCTGCTGTTGTGGGCTCAAAGTGTGCAAGTGTGTTTTAACGTTAGTCCTAGCAAAAACAGAATCATGAACAAGTCTGCTGAATAGCAGACCGTGCATAGCAATTCAAAAGACATTTGGGATTCTCTGCTGCTTTGATTGATCTGTGCCCTTGCTTTCCCTCCATTACTACAGACAACTAAGAATGATCTAAACTAGAACCTTGCTAGTGGGTCCAGGACCAGTAGCATCAACAGCAACTGGGAGCTTGTCAGAATGCAGAATCTCAGCACGCACCCCCACCTTCCCCCAGATCTCCTAAATCAGAACGTGCATTTTAATGAGATTCACATGCACTTTTAAGTTAGAAATGCACTTGATCTAGATGCTATGGGCGAGTGGGCAGGCCCACATCTTCTATATGCTTTGCACCATCCCTGACATATGGGCTCCCTAAATGACTGCATCTGTGTGAGAACGAAATGGTTTCTAACGGTAAAGCTCCCATACAGTCATTTGGGAGGTTTTACTCTTGACTGTACTTTCCATCTACTGTGGTATGTAAATCCTGCCCTAAGGGGCTCAGATGCAGGAACAAGAGACTCTTTTGGGACAAAGAAGCTAGAATTGATGCCTATTTTTAGGCAAACTTGGTTGTTCTCCTGTCTTCTCTCCAGGGAGCCAAGTGGTTGCAGCTCTAGCACCCTTCAATTCCCCCTGCTCCGCACACAGCTGCCTTGTACTCCCGTGGCCCTGGCCCTGACCCTGGGTGAGGGCCAGCCCTCCCCCCAATAACTTCACACCCCTTCCAACAGCTTCAGAAGGAACCCCAAATAAAGAGCTCGGCAGGAGGACTTCAGGACGTGCCCCAGGGAGGCAATGGCAGCAGCTGGCCCTACATTCCAGCCTCCCTGGAACACGTGGCTGAGGAGGCAGCAAAGGATCAGGAAGAACCTTTACGGGGGACAAGTGCCAGGCTCCAGCCTTCCACAGGCCTAGAGGAGAGAGCAGACGTGAGTGTCCCACTGCGTGCTTGTCGTGGATAATGGAGCTGGGTTTATCCTTCCCAACGTAGGCCAAGGGCTAACCCCGGCCACAGACCCTCCGCTTTCCCACCAAGTGCACTTGCAAGGGAAACAGCATATGGCTGAGTCTCAGCCCGGCCCTTGCCAAGATGTCCCAACACACCAGCCTTCTCAAGGTGGGGGTCAGGGGTTGAAGGGACAAGTGGTTGCCCATAGGGGATTGGTTAAATGAAATCAGGGTACATCTCTGTAACAGAACAGAATGCAGCCGTAAAGAATCGGGGTGATCTTCTCTTTACAGGTTGGTGTGGAATGATCTCTACGATGAATTGTTATGTGAAAAAAGCAGGGCTCCCTGTGTGTAAAAATAAAGAGGAAAATACGTTTGCTTGAATAAATACGAAAGAGCTTGGAGGGTGGAGAAGAAACGGTCAACGCTCTGCTGGCCAGCAAGGAAGAGAACTGGGTGGTGGGGGGAGGGCAGAAAAGAAGACTTTTCGCTGAGGTTTCACTGTGAACCTTTCAAAACGTTTTGAACTGCAATGTGACTGCTATTACCTATTCAAAAAACAGATCTACAGAAATTTAACATGTAACAGGAAGGGTGAGCGTGGCTACGCAGGGCAGCCCGGGGGAGCTCTGTGTTGATGGAATAGTTGTGTCTCAACGGTGGTGGTGGCTACATGAACCTACACGTGATAAAACTAAATGAAATTTAACGCACACAGGAGTGCAGGTGGAACTGGGGCGATCTGAACACGCTCTGTGGATTGTATCAGTGGACTTCTTGCTTTTGACATTGTACTACGGTCGTGTAGGAGGTTCCCACTGGGGGAAAACGGGTAGACAGTCCGTGGAATTTCTCTGAACATTTTTTTCACTTTCCTGTGACTATATAATTATTTCAAAATAAGATGTTGAAAAATGTAATAATCCAACAAGGGAGAGTGTCACAGTACTCTAGAATGGCAAGGCTGGGCAGGATCCTACAGATGATCGGGGACAGTGGTTTTGACACCTTCTGAGCTGTGAACACTTTATTCATGTGGAATCTCCGGAGGAGGTCCAGCATGCAAAACAGAGCCCAGCGGAGCTCTGTGGCCAAAGCCCACTTGCTCAGCCCCCTACAACCACAGGCCTGAAAACCACCACCTCTGGTTCATTCCTCTCAATCTATAACTGATCACTGGGCTCAGAGATACTTCTACTAGGGGGCCAAAGTCACACAGCACGTTAGTGACTCCGCTGGAACTACAGCCTATTCTCCTGAGCCCCTGTCCAGTGTTTATCCGGCATCCAGTCCTGGTGGAAAAGGTGCAGAGTGTGCAGACGGCCCGAACCTGGCCTCCCTCCCGCTCCTGCACAGCAGGCCCGGCCCGGCTGTGCCCCTGCCAGTCTGTACCTGGAGCAGTGCAGCTGTCATGTAGAAGACGATGAAGATGAGTGTGAGTGTGGTATGCCCTCCCTGCATACAGCTGATGGTGTAGAGGAACACCAGGTGTCCTGGAACCACGAGCAGGAAGAGGACCCGGGCCGAGCGAGAATTCACATCTGGGACCGGGGAAGAAAAGGGGTGAGAAGGAAACCTGGCCCCAGGAGGGACCACGCTACACTCCAGGGCAGCAGACAGCTGCCTGCCTCTACCTCTCCATCCCACGGTTCCCAGCGCCCAGGGCGTCTCAGCAAGGAGAACTTTCCTGCCTGGGCTGTGCCCTCTACCACAGCTGGTGCAGCCCAGCAAAGGAGGAGGACCTGTGTATCCAGGCCCTCGCTGTTTCTTAAGTGAAGTTCACTGACTGTCCACCCCCTTCCTCCAGGGCAGGAATGGACCCAGGAGGTGGGGACTCTGCTATTACCAGGACTGAAGAAGGTGGTACACGGGCTGGGGCAGCGGCGAGGGGCTTGCTCAGAGTTCTCCCCGGGCATTCCATTCATGTGGAGGAAGGTGGAGATGCGGCTGGCCTGCACTGCCACCAGATTGCCCCCAACACCTGCAGAGACAAAAGACCTTAGACATGGGGGGAGGGATGAGTCCCCAGAACAGTGAGATGTTGAGAAGAAAAACAAAGACAACTCCCCTGCCCAATTCCAGGGAGTCTTCCAAGCTCCTCCCCCCCCGCCCCCTGTGGAGATGTGGTAGTCTCCATGCCCCTGGTGTGGCTGAGAGTGCAGGAGGGGACACAGGCAGATCTGTGGACTCGGAGCCTGACTTCTCCAGCAGTGCAGGGTGTGCACCTGCTGTTGCACACAGGCCAGGGGACGACCCTGCTGGCTTCAGTGCCTCTCCAAAGCTCCGAGCAGACTCAGGCGCCCAGTGCTCACGTGCTGGTTAGTGACCAGGGTCAAGTATCAGGTTTGACCTCTGCGCTCTGGAATCTGGTACCCAGGAACTACGCCTGCTACTGTCACCATCCCGCCCCCAACCTATTCCCCGATCTCTTCGGCCTTGCTCTGAGTCCTGTGAGGCTGACTTCTACAGACGGTCCCCAACCTCCCATGCTGCTGTTTCTAACTGGGTGTGTTCAACAGGAGGCACCGGTAGGTGATCAGAGAGGGTGGGAGGAGAGAGAGGTCAGGTATTTCCTTCCTGACCCCTCTCTGCTTTATGGCAGTGGCTTACCCCTGTTGGGGGCAGAGGAGGGCTCTCTCGGGGCTCCCATAACACTCTCTCCCCCTGACCCTTGAGGACTAGGCCTTCCTGCTGTTGGTAATCTCTGGATGCCTCAACACCTCTTGTTGTCCTTCTTCCCCGCTCCCACTTCTGGGAGCAGCCCCTTCATTAAAGTCTTGAACTAACTGAGCTGGATTCTCTTGCCTGCTCGCACCCTAACTGATTCAAAGCCCCCCAGATCCTCTTCTCCAGCCCTCTCCTTTCCCCTGGCAGCTGAGGCCAAGACCTCACCATTAATCACAGGTGTGAAGACAGCCATCCCTGCAAAGTTGGGGTCTGAGACAGTCTTGTCCAAGATGAGGCCTCCCACACTACAAAGACAAAATGACACAAAGGCCATTAAAGGGTTCTGTTCCAGTCCTGGTGTGAGGGACAGGCCCGTCTGGCCTTGGGCAGGAAGGAAAGCAAGGTGGCTCCCAGGAATCCCTCGTCTTCCAGGCCTTACTTCTTTTGCCAGAACCAGCTGCTGCTCATAACATTCAACTGTCACAGTGCTCCCCGAGCAAGCTGGGGGTGCTCACTTCCCAAGCTGGCTGGAGGAGCCATCCACAGGGTGACCTGCTTGTGAGAACCTCTACTGTTCCGCCTGCTCAGTATTTTTTTCCCCTTCTGGTAACAGCGATGAGCTCTTCCTCAGGGAATGGCCTCTCTCAAACTCAATCGCTGTGGTTCACATGACATTACTCCAGTGAAAACTAGGCCCCAAACTCATCCAATCAAAGCATCACATCCCCAAAGCCTTGGTGATTGGCTCAGGGAGAATCATGTGACTAAAGGAGAGCCAATGAAATTCTATAATGGGACTTGGTGAAATTGTTGAGAGAAAGAATCTCTCTCACCCCTGGAATCAGTACAAGTAGAAAGGTATAAACCTGGAACTGCAGGCCAGCACAGGGAAATGCAGAGCCAAGGTGGAGAATACTGGGGCCCTGATGATATAATTCTGCTCCTGAATCCAGCTGTGCTTTTTTAGTTCCCTAAGCCAAAGCATTCTGATTTTTTATTTTTATTTTTTTTATCCTCACCGAGGACATTTTTCCATTTTTTGCACAGATAGAGTAGGAGGGAGAGAGAGGGAGAGAGAGGAAGAGAGAGAGAGAGAGAGAAACATCGACGTGAAAGGGACACATCGAGTGGCTGCCACCCGCACGACCAACCAGGGCCGGGGTCAAACTGCAACTGAGGTACGTGCCCTTAGCGGGAACCGAACCCGGGTCTCTCCGGACCGCAGGCCGATACTCTAACCGCTGAGCCAAACCGGCTAGGGCGTTTTTTTGTTTTTGTTTTTGTTCAGGTAGAGTGGGAGGGAGAGAGAGGAAGGGAGAGAGAGAGAGAAACACGGACGTGAAAGGAACACATTGAGTGGCTGCCACCCGCACGACCGACCAGGGCCGGGGACAAACTGCAACCGAGGTACGTGCCCTTAGCGGGAACCGAACCCGGGTCTCTCTGGACCGCAGGCCGACGCTCTAACCGCTGAGCAAAACCGGCCAGGGCAGCATTCTGATTTTTAATGAAATCCATTTCAGATGGTTTTTGTCACTTGCAACAGAGGGACATGATACACTATTGAAGACATTTCCAGGGTCTGTGCCGTGCTCCCTCTCTTCAGGGCTTACAAGGGAGTCTGTGGCAGGGTGGAGGGGATAGGAGCATGCACCCAAGGCCTGAGCCTACCTGCTGATGGCCATGGCAATGATGACAGGCTCCCAGCCCGAGTACAGCACCTCCCTTGTGGCTGGGCTCCGTCGGGCCAGCACCACCCAGACAGGTAGCAGGGCCACGAAGAAGGCACACACCAGGGGGTAGATGTATTGCCAGTCATCTGAGAAGCAGAGATCAGAGGGAGGTGAGCACTGGGGCCACCTGCTCCCAGCCTCCCCCTGGCTGAGCCTGCAAATATCCCAACAGATCAATAGCGATGCCACACCAAATGCCTAGAAATATATGACCTCATCTGATCCCACTGTAAGCCCAGGAGATCGGGGGGCCAGCCTTTTCCATTTTGCAGATGAGAAAACCAAGGCCGAAAGCTCCCGCAGCACTGCACTCATAAGGGGCAGAGACCAGATTCTAGGTCCCCAGAAATCACTATTCCCCCTCCTAATTCTTCATTTTGCAAGCAGATTCCAGCCTTCAGCTCCTTTCCTTTACCCTTCCCACCTTCCACTCCAAGGGAAGCAAGGTCTGCAGGACCCAGCAGGAATATACAAATTTCTCTGATACTTTCTCCCCCGCCCTGCTGCCTGCATGAATTTGAAATGAGCACTTAGCCTCACCTCTCTAAGGTGGGGACTATGCCAACTGTATTCCAACCAAACAAAGAACATGGGAGAAATGCTTACACATTTGCATATACACTAACCATCTCTCCCAATCCCACCCAGGCGTCTACCCAGGTCACACCCTCGGTAGCCTCAGCCTCACCCAGCTCCAGGTAGAGTCCCCAGCTGATGCCTGAAAGCAGGGCCAAGGTAATGAGGTCACCCAGGCTGGCAGCAATGGGAGTGGCCACATTGTCTGGGTTGATTCCAATCTTTCGAGAGCCAATGATGACCCCAATCATGATCATACCTGGGGAGGAAGGAGAGGGGCCAGGGAGAGGTAAGAAGAGATAAAGGGGTAGCAAACAGAAGAGAGACTGGAGGTGCCAGGCCCAGCTGACACCTCTGGGGCAGCCCTCCCGACTCCCCTGCCTGTCCCCTCTCCCCTCCCTTCCTTACCCAGTACCAGGGAGGCAATGAAGGCCGTGGCCACGCTGCTGGCACACAGCAGGAAGGCATGCGGGATACTGAAGTGGCCGTCAGGGATCCAGCCAAAGACGACAGCTGCAATGGATGCCAGGAAGCCCACCACTGTGGCCTGCACCTGAGGGGAGGAGTGTAACTCAGCCCTGGGAGCAGAGAGCTTCTTAGCCAAGGCCCTGAGCACTCGGCCAGACCTGTTCCTGGCCCTCGGCAGCCCCAGGAGGCAGGTGGGCAGGACTGTCCGGTCCTCCCAAGCTGGAATGATGTCTTTATTTATTTAGTTTCACACCAGACACTAGTACTGTGCAGTGCGCCCTGCAGGAGCCCAGGACACGTAACTGGCTGAGTGAGTGTTCCTCTGGTGATTGGGTTAAGGTTCAACGCACCCAGGACTTCAGTCCAGAGACAAGGCCCAGGGCTCAAGAGGAAAGAGTACAGTGCAGAACCTGTGTGGCCCTATGGGGACACGAGACAAGGGTGGTCAAGGACATTTCAACACTCCAGTCTTTTTCTGAGTCTGATCTGGGGGACATGAGCCCCCCCCCCCCGCAGCACTGGGAGCTGAACTGACATTGAGATACTGGAGTTTCTTGGCTGTTTTCCTGGGAAACCTGGTTACCTCCTAAAGCTGCTTTGGGAGAAGCCAGCTCAGCAGGATGCTGGAACATCACTCAGGATCCAGCTGGGGCTGAACTGAGCCTTTCAGATTCCTGACTAAGGAGGATGGATGCTCAGCCCAACCTCTCTGGCCCTGCTCTCTTACCTGAATGAGGGCCATGTTCCCAGTGATCATCCGCCAGAGCTCCTTGGGTGTGTCCATGTGCCCGATGTTGGCCTGGGAGAGGGAGGAAGGGGGCTGGAACTCCAGGCTGGCAAAGGCCTGCAGCTCAGTCCATTAGAATCCCACCTAGATCAGGAAGCATGTGCCCTGAGACTCTGGGATGAGACCATGACCCCCATGGAGAGTGAAGCAGGATCAGGGGGACTGGAGTGAGAGGGAAGAAGCTCCTTGAGCTCCTGAGGCTGAGCAGGGGCTGGAAGGGGCTCCCCAGGCAGCCTCATGCTCTCTCCTCTCTCAGGAGAGCTGGTGAGCAGAGGCGGATTCCATCCTCTGCCCTGCTCATCCAGACCGCCCATTCCTGCCTGGGTTAGAATGACCTGATGGATGCCCAGCTCTGAAGCCAGCTTGCTGTCCTAGGGAAGGAAAGATTGGCTGCTGGTGTAGGAGTGTGGCTACAGGAGTGTTTGGGAAGGAGTGAGGTGGCACAGGAGAAGGCCAGGAGCAGGGTAAGTTGGGGCAGACGAGGCTGGCTGCCCCTTCTCTCTGATGTCTTTTCCAAACTTGTGGCCATGTAGGAACATCTCTGCCACCTGTTCCCCTGACCTCCTGAGTTTCATTGCCTCCCACCTCCCACCCCGTGGCCCTGTAACTGGTTCAGACCCTAAACCATCATGGCTGATTTAAGGGGTAGTGGGAGGTGGGAGTGGCGAGCACCCCTCCCCGTTTATTCCTTTAAAGCCAAGGGGGAAAGAGAGTGGGATGGGAGGGGGCTGGGAAGGCCTGGCTCTGCTCCAGCCCAGCTGCAGAGTAGGGCTGGAGATCAGAGGAGGCCCCCATCTGTGCAGGTGGAGGGACCAGCATGATCCTTGCCTGTCAAAGCTGCACAAACAGTCACGAGGCGGGTTGCAAAACAGGGGGTGGGGCAAGAGTCCAGGGATGGCTGAGACATCCAGAAACCGAGTCTGGGAACCACTCGCGCAGGGAGCCCCTGCCGGGAGCAGGACACCCAGCCTGGGGTCTCCCTACACCTGCCCACCCCAGCCCCACACTCCAGGCGTGGGCAGTTGAGGAAGGCCGGCAGTGATCTCCAGCCTGGCTCGGCGCTGCCTGGAGTCCTCAGCACACCCCAGCCCGTCCAGCCAGGACACTCACCGCGGTGGACAGCCTCGATGCCAGGGTCATTTCCAGGTTCCCCTTGAGCCCCAGCAGTGCAGGCACCAGGATGAAGACTTCTGTCACCTTCTGGAAGACTTCCCAGTGCTACAAGGTGAAAACAGATCTCAGGAATTTTAGCGCCCCAAGGGGCTGGCTTCGAGGTTGAACAGAGAGTCTGGAATCAGGGGCTTGAGGAGGAAACGGAATCAGCAGGGAGGGAGTACATCAGCCACCTTTCCTCCAAGAACCCTGGAGCCAAACCAAGCCCATGGTTCTCCAAACAACACAGTACCCCCCTTCCTGCCACCAGAACAGGGCAGATGCAGAGGGCTCCTTCTGGCCAGCAGACCCTAGCCCAGCTCTACTGCCTCCGCCTGCTATTTGGAGGCAGAGGGAAGAGAACGGCGAGGAGCCACACAGCTCAGTAACCCCAGGTGGCTTACACCCCCAAATTCCTTTCAGATTCCCCCTCAAATCGCAATTCCCAAGCCCTCTGCATTGAGTCCGTTTTCCCCGCGGCCTCAGCCTTGGGTAGTGTTGTCTCAGCTGTTGAGAGCCGGGCTCCACGGGGCTGAGGAGATTAGAGTTTGTTTGGTTTCCATCTCTAAGGGTTTTGGGCCGCAGCCATAGCAATTTTCCTTCTGGAAAGGGTCTGAATAAGACCACGGCCCCCAAACCTCAAAATGCTGGTCTGCAAGAGGCTTTTTATTCCTCCTCTGCACTCTCTCACTCTACATAGTTTCCCCAACCTCTCAGTTAGCAGAGGCAAGTGTACCCCTGTAGGGAGAGCACTGGGCTAGGAGTCAGGAGACACGGTTCTAGCCCCGAGACTGGTAGGCCTGGCTGGCCCCCCAGTTCCTTCCGCTAACGTCTATTAAGCAGACTATGCTAGGCTAAGTGCCCTACATGCATTTTCCATTTCATCCCATCAACAGCCTAATGAGGTAGGGGCTATTTTTAACCCTGTTCTGTAAATGAAGAAACTAAGGTTCAGACAGCACCACACTCATTAGTGCTAAGAGGAGAACGTAGGAGCCAGGGCTGGCTATCTAAAAGCTACTTTCGTTGCAGCAGAAACGGAAGACCTGTAAAAAAAAAAAAGGCTGCGATTGTGTCTCCCTCCCTGGCCTTGGCAGCAGTGTGGGTTCCTTTATTTGTTTTCAGAATGGAAAGCCTTCAGGTTTGGAGAGGGAGGAGGGGAGAGGTGACCAGGTAGAAGTGCATAGGTTGAGGCCAAGTGCTGGACTGACAGCATTAGGTCTCTTACAAGACATCACAGGAAGGGGCCTTACTCTGTCTCTCCAACATCTTCCCCACATAGGCCAGGGGGGACCTTCTACAAGTCACAAGGACCTCAAGCTCCTAAACTATAAAATGTGCAATTTAGGGGCCAGATCAAATGGTCTCTAAAGACAATTCCAACACCAACTCTCCATAGTTAAGGATGAGCAAGGTTACAAATGAAACCTACAATGAGATATCCCTCATACTGACTAGGATGGCTGCTATTAAAGAAAAGCAAAACCTCAGAAAATAAGAGGCATTAGCAAGGAGGTGGAGACATTAGAACCCTTATGAGTGGACATGTAAAATAGTGCAATCACTATGGAATATAGTATAGCTGTTCCTCAGAAAAAGAATAAAATAGAATCTACCACATGATCCAGCCGTCACACCGCCAGGTGTATATCCCAAAGAGTTGAAAGCAGGGTCTCAAAGAGATATTTGTACACTCATGTTCACAGCAGCATTATTCACAATAGCCAAGAGGTGGAAACAACCCAAGGGACCACTGATAGATAGATAAATAAAGTGTGGTATATACACACAATGAACTATTATTTGGCCTTAAAAAGGAAGGATGTCATGTCACCTGCTACCACATGGATGAACCTTAAGGACATTGTATTAAGCAAAATAAGCTGGACACAAAAAGACAAATACTATATGATTCCACTTATTTGAGGTATCTAAAGAAGTCAAATCCACAGAAACAGAAAGTAGAGTAGTGGTGCCAGTTGATGGGGGTGGGGGAGGGGAGAAAAGGGGAGTTGGTGTTTGATGGGTATGGAGTTTTAGTTTTGTAAGATGAAAACGTTCTGGAGATGGATGGAGGTGATGGTAGTGTAACAATGTGAATGTACTTACACTACTGACCTGTACATTTAAAAATGGTTAAACTTGATGCTGTGTGTGTGTGTGTTTTATCACAATTAACAAAAGATAATCAAGGATATCTGAAGGGGCTGGGCCAGGACCAGAGATCAGGTGTGGCTGGATACTAGGGGTCCTATAAGGCAAAGACCTCTTTTTTCCTCCAGAGTTCTTTTTATGTGTTTTTTGGTGGGGGGAGGGATGACCTACCAGTCCCCTGGGGAAGGGCTCATCTCATTAGGGCTAGAGTAGCCCCTTACCTGGGGTTTTGGCCTGGCTCCCCACAGCTGGAGGGCCTAGGGCTCTCTTCAGGGGGCCTGCTCTCAGAAACCCCCTTCCTTGCCCACCCCCGCTCCCCCAGTTAACAGTTGCTGAGCTTTCAGGCACCCACAGAAAGAGCCAGCCCCTCCCAAAGGCTGGAAGGATTCGAATCCCTTGTCACCCCCAGGGCCCCAGAGAGAAGGCAGCCCCAGTGAGCCCCAGCTGCCCCACGGAACTGGGGGACTGTTACTTTTGGATGCTGGTGCATACCACTGGGGTTCCAGCTCCCTGCAGGCTCGGCCTTGCTCTGCTCTGCCTCCTCCTTCCTCACCTATACTGGACAAACAGCTTCGGGGGGGAAGAATTCCCCTCTGCTCCTCTCCCCTCAGGAGGGTGTCGCTCTGAGCACAGCCTCATAGCCCCTCCTCACTGCAAACCATCTGCCCCTCCCAGCTTCCCAGCTGCCAGCTCCCTGGAAAGCTGTCTCCAGGTAGGTGTACGTCACGCGCATGTACTGGCCCAGTGACAGAGCCAGGGAAGAAACACTCTGAGTGCATGCGAGCAATAGTTTCTGAACTGTTTCTAAGGAATACTGTTTGTCTTTATAATTATTTAAGAAAAATAATGTATGAGGCTCAGCTAAGCCCCTCTGGCAGCCGCTATAAGCACCCCCAAAATCCCTCCCTCTCATTTTAATTACGCAAGAATCTAGAAGGTGTGGGGTTTTAACAGTGCTAAGTGAGAGAGAGGCAAGGAAAATAAGCAGCCACAATAACAGCCCCTGTACAAGTCCTCCCGATCTGCTCAGCACATAGCCTGGAACCTCACACAACCTGAGTCCAGCCCAGCGGGGCCAAGTTGGCACTTGGGTCAGAGCAGCCAATTCCTACGCACATATTTCCTTTGCCCACAAAACCCTCAAAGATGCAGCTCAGGGCAAACACACAGGACTCTGGGAGGAGATGCTGGTGATATGGAAGCAGCCTGGAAACAGTCTGGCCCTGAGGTCAGGAGTCCGTAGCATGTGGCAGGGGCAGACAGTGTGTCCTTCCTGCTTTGGCCTAATTCAGGTCCATCCTGTTCACCCTGGCTAGGAGTGCCTGCCCACGAAGTCAAACCCGTCAGCCCTGTCAGCCAAACCTTCACCCACGCCTTCCTGCTCCGCTGGGGATGGAGGAGCACGCCCCCCCCCCCCCTCCCCGGGCGGGGCAGCTACACATTTCACTGCTTCTCAGAAACGCAGCTCCTTTTCTAGTTCTTTCTTACGGGGCTGGGAGCTCACTGGTCCCTGATATTCTGGGGGCAAGGGATGAGACTGCCCACCCCACACTCAGAAATAACCCAGATTCAGACCAATCACCTCAGTGGTCCTGCCACCTCTCACCCCCTCCGGCCTCACACGCTGACCCCTGCCTGCCTTGGTGTTCTGTCCTGAGCCTCCTCCCCTCCACGAGGGTTGCAATGGGGAAGAAAGTCACGGCCAGAAAGAACTGTAGTCAAGACATCAAGACCGACGTCTGTAGTGATCAGCTCTAAACACAGGCTGTGGGAGAACCTGGCAACTGCGGCTGGAGTTGACCTTTCAGACCAGATTAGAGTAAGCCCAGTAAGCCCAGTCTGCACCTGTCTGAGCCACCTTCCCCCTGCACACACAACTCTGCAGGTATCCTCTAGTTGTCCAGGGAGAAGGGCCTCAGGGCAACGCCAGGATTTAGAGAGCCGACAAAGTGTGAGAAAGGGGTTGTCAAAGGAGAAGGGACCTCAGTGTCCTGCCCAGGAATACCCACAGCCCCGGGAGCAGGCCAGACAGGAGAGCATGCTTCTTTCCCATTTCACTTGGTCAAGCCCATGCTTGCCATCCCCTTTCAGCTCTGTAGATGTTCCCGTATACACAGCAGGTAGAGAAGCCAGAGAAGGAGATGCTTGGGGGACGGGGGTCTACTTTCCTTGGGATCCTCAGCAACTGAGCAATGGGTTAAAATAAGGACTTAGGAGTCCCACCTGTCTTAACACAGCTGGGAATCCAGTGAAGGTGCCCGTACCACCTCCCGCCACCCCCATTCCTCAAAAGGCTAACTGAAAAAGGAAGTGAGGTGCCCTGCCGTGGCCAGGACCAAACTAGGGGGTGGGGACAAGGCATGTGCAGCAGGGAGGGTCCCCATATCCCAATCCACTCCCCAGCCCTGGGCCCAAACCTGCTCTCACCCTCCAACTGCTGCAGGAACTTTCAGCCACGGTGGGGAAATTGGAGCAGAACGCAGTCCATTTATCCCTTTCCTCCTTTCGGCCAGTGTGCCAACCCCTTATCTCACAGCAGGGCTGGCTGTACAGTGAGTAGAGAGGAGGGCAGATAAGAGGACAAACTGGGCCTTCCAGGAAGAGACTGGATCTTCTGCAATAGTGGGGAGAGATTGGGGGCCCTGGGCCAAGGTCACATCTGCACCAACATGACTTCTGCTCAGTTGCTCTGAGACACAGGGGACACCCTGAGCCACCTCCTCGAGATGGCCCCAGTCGCTCAGGAACTAGCAGACTCTGCCCCGCGGAAGGCTACCTACGCTTGTGAAAGGAACATGAAGGTGCGCGTCCTTACAGAGCATCCTGCTCTTCCTGAATCGGAGGTCGTCAGTCTGCTGCCCCTTCTACTCCCATGGATATGGACTGAGAATCTCCCTGCGGTCTCATGTCCTGTTTTTTTTTTTTTTTCCCTTGTAAAGCCTCATTCGGGGATATGTTTCCATTGCTTTTTTGATAGAGTGGAAGGAAGGGAGGGAGAGAGAAAGAGAAACATCGATGTTTGACTGGTTGCCTCTCGCACGACCCTGACCGGGACCAGGGATCGAACTTGCAACCCAGGTGCCTGCCCTTGACCGGAAATTGAACCCAAGACCATTCGATCCGCAGGCTGATTTCTAACTGTTGAGCCAAACCAGCTAGGGCCTGGTTTTTTTTGTACCCACTCTCTCCCATGTCATGGCAGCTATCAGCAGGGCCTGCTGTGGTAGGGAGGCTGGGGGAGGAGGAAAGCACAATCCAGCCATTGTCATCCATACCAACTGGACCTCACTCTGCAGCGAGCTTAGGTGCCACACCAAGGACAAATTCTGGCCTTCTGTGGGGATGGTGGGCAGGCTCCAAAGGTTCCCTACCTAGGTCTCTGAATGTCTCAGGCTCGTGGGGGTTGGGGCAAGATGTCAGAAGCCTTTTCCAGCTCTACAGTTCTCAGAGTATGTGAGACGGGAAGGCAGGGGGCCCTTTAAGAACTTTTGTTCTTGCTCACTTTAGAATATAACTCCAATTGTTCCAGGTCTCAGTCCACCCTGTTTTTCAGGGGAAGACAAAGAGAGCAGACTCCTCCCAGAATCTTTAACCAACTGGTGAATCATGGCCATGGTGAAGGCCATAGAGGTTCATGGTCAGGTTCTGAGTCAGATGACCAGGGGCAAGTTACCTAATTGCTCTAAGCCATAGGTTCCCTATCTACAAAATGGAGATGATATGGCTCCTTCAGAGGAGACCAGCAAATGCTCCCTACACCAGTATTATCCAGAAAACAAAACAACCCTCTCCCAGTTCACCACTGGACCTAAGTTCTATACCCTTTTGTAGATACCAAACCAGAACTTAAAAACTCTAAAAATGAGAACCAAGGCCACAGGAAAGGGATGGGAGAGGTGGAGAAACTGCTACCCAAGTCTCATTTCTCCTACCTCCCATTACTTAGGAGGAGGGGCAGCCACTGGGGGAGGAATCCAAGCTGATGTGCCCAGCTCCAAGCTGGCTTCCTCACCTGCATGAGGTATTCTCAAGGTGACAGGTTAGGGGTGAGAGGAGGCAGTGCAAGGCATGCTGGCATGACATAAATGACAACCTCATTAGCAACCGAAGGTGCAGGGTTCAACTCAAAAAAGGAACCACCTAGAACCAACCACCCTCAGATCCCTGGGACACAAGCATGGTGAGCCCACCAGCAGGACTCTGTGTCACCACGTGCATTGTTTGTAGGGCTGGACTGGCACAGAAGAGGGGATGCTGAGCTCCACATCCTCCTGAGATTTCATGGTCAGGGACACACTGATGGGTCCTAAAGGCCAAAGGCCAGATCTCCCTCAGCCGTGGCACTTGGTATTTCTCTGACAGAGCCCAGCACTCAGCAGAAATCTGATATTTGCTAATGATTAGCTTAGTTAAATGTGGCATCTTCAGAAAGCTCTGTGTGCCTTATTGTGCTTCAAAAACTTTTATCTAGAAAGAAGACTTCATCTCGTGGACCTGGAGGTTTTGGGTAAGTCCTAACCCACAGTATAGTAACACAGCATATCCCTGGCTCTTCCAGGACCTACCAATTATTATCCTTAATTCTACTCAGTAGCCTCAAGAAGAGCGTTCTATGCCCAAGGCAGGTTCATGAAAACAGGAAAGGAGGAAAGAGGACAGTTCTGCCCGAGGCTTGTTACATTTTGTCCCCATTTATGTCACATAATTAGCACTTCTAGGCCTTATTATGCTACCCGCCCCCAAATCACGCATCAGACAGCATGTGCCCAATCCCATTCCCCAAGGAGATCGTGCCAAGGTTACAGGCAGATAAGCAACACAAATGCCTTTAAGAACCTTCCCACTTAATTTGAGACCCTCTTGGCAGCCAGACAAATTCCTGCCCAGCAGGGGGATGGAAAGGAGACTTGAAACTGAGCTTTCTACTATGGGTATCCTTGAAACCTCAACTGAAGGGAAAATAAAGCGGAAAGTGGGGACCCATCTAAATGTCTCCTACTGAGCTGGGCTTAGCAGGAATGCCCTGGAGGAATGGCAGGCAAACATCCCATTCCATCTCGTCTCTTCCAAGCCTGAGCTCTGGAACCAATTCTGCTTCTGTTAAGCAATACTGCCCTGACCACTTCCCTGGGGCTACTGGGCTTCCTCGAGGCTTCTGTAGTACGTAAGTAGACCAAGAAGAAACAAAGGACATGACCCAAAAGGAAACAGTATTCTAGGAAGCAGCAGCTGCTTCTGACAGGGAGGTGGAGAGAAGCTCCAAGAGTCAGTTTCTTAGGAGGAAAGGTGGCTCCAGGACTCACAGTCAAGAGCTGCACGACCCAGGTCCTACCTGCACGATGTCCAGCACCATGCCTGCAGCCACAGTCCCAAAGCCTGCCAGGAGGAAGGGAAACAGCACTTGCAGCCCGATGGAAAAGGAGGTCTCCTTGAGTGGGGAGGGTGGTGCGGGGCCATGGTCTGTGCTGACGTCGTCACTTTCATTGCTCTGGCTCCCATTCTCCAGCAGGGCGTCCTCCTCCCGAACCCCCTTGGCGTTGGCCCGAGACTCAATCACCACCACCTCTACCCCAGCCCCATCAGGCCCCAGGAACTCGGAGGTCCCTGCCAAGGGCTCTCGCCCAGGGCCATCTGAAGAGCAGGGTGAAGCAGCAGGGCCAGTCCCGTTCAGCTGGTGGATGTCCTTCAGCTCCAACTTAGAGGACATGACGGGAAGGGAAAACGGGAAGGGGGAAACTTTTCTTTCTTTCTCTCTTTTTTTCTTTCTCTCTCCCTCTCTAACTCGGGAAAGAACTTAGTCTTGGGGTGAACCCAGGCTTGGGCGCCGCAGGACCTCTTCCCACGGCTCTCCGCTCCTACCAGGTGCTGCAAAAACTGATCTACCAACAGGCAGCCCCATCAAGCACTGAAGCCGCAAGCTGGAGGGAACCAGAAACTCCTCACCAGACCCCGCAGCCAGCCACTAGGGGTGCAGACGCCTGACTCCTGTTGTCCAACGCTGGGCTGGGGGAAAATTAATCTGGCCTCTTATCTTCTTTGGTTCTTAGCAGCAGGCTCCTCAGAACAGGGACATTCAGAGTGGAAGAGCCTAGCCAAATCTGGGGTAACCTCTGAGGTGGCCCTTCTTTCATGAAAAGTAGTTTGTGTTCAATTCTTTCAGAAGGCAGCCTGGGCCTGGGGCTGTGGCTTCTTCCCACACCGCTGGCTGGGGTCCGTCAGCTTCCCACAGCTGCTCGGGTTCTGCTGGTCCTGGGGCAGTGTCTGCCGTCTTTCACTTTTCTTCCAGAGATTTCCCTCCTTTCTGGGAAGACCTTGAACCTCCCCGAATCCCTGGTCCTTCAAGTCACAAGAACCTGTGTGGAACACCTTATGTGGGGAGAAGATAAGAGAAAGAGAATGTTATGATACAGCAAAGGACAGCTCATACTGGGAGGCATAAAGCAGGCACAAGCCAGGCATACGGAGTTTGTTCCTTCTGTGAAATTACCCATGCCTGCACTCCAACATTTGGAGGCCCAGCAGGACTCTCCCCGCCATCCTCCCAATCAGCAACCCACCGCCCCACCGGGATCACCCCAGTGGCGAGCAGCCTGGGACGGGAAGGTGCTGTGCAGGACCTGGCATTGTCTTCTCAGTAACCAGGGGTGGGCAGGATGTCCTGGGTGGCATCCCTTCTTGAATGCTCCTAAGATCCCAGGATTATTTAGATGTGGTCTCCCAGTGGAATTAGTCACAAACTCAGTCACAGACTCCCTGCCACACAGCCACACCACTGTAGAACATGACTGTTTACAGTCACCAGACAGTTACCCGGGGCAATTAAATGGAGAATCTGAGCACTGAGTGAAGGTCCCTGGACTCCCAAGCGCCCTAGCCCCTGAGAAACAAAAATAGGAGGACTCCCTGGGCAATGAGGCAAGCCTGCCAGACCAAGGCCAAGAGCCAGAGGCCTACCCACTCCTGCCCTTGAGAGTCAACAGTGTTACAAAAAGCTCAGTTGCTGACTTGGACTCGGGCCTCTGTCTCTACTTCTCTCCCCCTGCTCTAGGCCCCGTGAACTTGTCAGATAGGAGAAGGGAGTTATCTCAATTTGAAGAGAAAGAGGGTAAAACTACTGATTATTATGCACACATTTCAGTCTCCTAAGTTCGCCCTGTTCCCCAGAGTTACCGAGAGTTGGATATAGTGGAATTCTTAAAAAACAAAAGCACCAACTAAAAAACAAAGCAAAACAAAAAACAAAGCAGCATAAGCCAAAATGCACTTGATCCCAAGTACATGTCTCTTTGGCTGTAATGATCTCACTTTTTTTGACTAAAAAAAAAATCCCCAGGCCTTGATGCCCCCCTATTCCACTTCACCAGGAGAGCTCTCACAAAGTAAAAAATACTTTAAAAGAAAATTTCCCTGAGGAAAGATGAATAGGTCCTTAAGCATTCCAAACACACACAATTAGTCAACTCCAGTTTGGGAAAGGGTGGGTCAAAAACTCCAGTAACTGGCCCAGGGGTATTATTGTCTCTATCAACTCAAGTCACCAGGACTCCCTGTTCCAGTCTCCTTTAACCTAGACTGTGGTTCTTTGAAAGACCCTCACTAGAGATCTAGGAGGAAACCTCTGAGCAGGAGGGAGGCCACTGCTCCAGTGTCAGGAAAGTTTCCGAGTGGAGTCTGCTAAAAGTTGACCCTCCCTCCTCCTCCTGTCTTCCACGCAGGCCACCTAACCTGAAAGGAGACTGGCAGGAAGAGAAGCCAGTCCCTTACTCCACTCCTTCCAGTAAAGAGACTTCAGACAGGCCTGAGGAAGGCCCTGGGATGAAAGAAGAAAAAAACGGAACCAGGATGCCCTGAGAAGGGGACACAAAAGACCCGTTTTACTATCCCCAACCCAAGGAGGGGGAGAAGTAAACGGGTGTCCTCCCTGGCTTCTCTGGGATTCAGACTCAGCAAATGCGCTGCGCGCCAGGGCTCCCCACCTCCATCCTCCACCCCCCCACCCCCCCACCCCCAAGGGACTGACCTGCCCCTCGCTTAGGAGGAAGGGGGGCGCCTGGCGAGTGGCAGCAGGGGCCCGTGGTCTCGGGGGCTGCAGGGTTCCCCCTCTTCTCATCACTCCTCTTCCTCGGCAGTCCTCTTCGGCCCCCGGCGTGCCCCCCCCACGCCCCCAGCCTAGGCGAGCGTCCAGCCGCGACCCCCGGCTCGCTACATTTCGCCTCTGCGTTATAGCGAGGCCGCTGCTCCGCTTCCACGAAGGGGAGGTGGCCGGGAGGGCAGGATATACCGCCTCGGGCCCGGGCGGGGGGCACCCGTACAGGGGACAGTGGGGCCGAGCTCACTCGCCCCCAATCGCTTTTGGCCCGCGGACTTGGGCCCGACTGGTTGGCTGCTAGTGGCAAACGTGATCTGGGGCAGACTGGGTGGCACCCCCCCTTCCATCAAAAATAGATTCTGGATGAACAGCTGCGGCAACCAATCAGGGTTAGAAGAGGAGGCGGGATCCTCCTCGCCCGACCCCTTTCTTTCGCTTTGTGAGTGGAGGCGGGGCGTCGGGGAAACCCGGGGCGCCGGGTGACGGGAACTGGGAGCAGGCAGTCCACGGCGCGGCGATCGCGCGGGTCCCAGTGCCCCTCGGCCGGCGCCTGGGTTCCCCTGCCCGGCGAGAGTTACGCGGTGCCATCTCCCTCGGGCCCACCTCCCTTGGGCCTCCCTCGCCCCCGCAAGACGTGTGCGCTTGTGCGCGACTGCTCTGGCATCTTGAGTGCTTCCTTGAGCCTTGGCCTTGGAGAAGACGGGAAACCTGCTTGCGCAGCTCCCGCGCTCCTTCTCGGCCTGCGTATTCGTAGAGAACCATCCCTACCTTGTCCTCGGCCAGGGCTCCTCTCCCGCTGCCTTGTCACCCCGTGCTTCCGCCAGGTCCCGTGTTCTTCTAAGCAGATGGCTCAACCCGGACGGAACCGGCCTTAATAAAGTCCGGGCCTTGAAAGGGGTGGGGATGGGCGGGCAGGAGGGTAAAGAGGTCAGACTCTCGGCTGGGGTCACACACGCACCACCTGCCGTCGCTGCGGAGCGGAGTCTGGCTTCCTCTGACCCCACTGATCCTGGTGGCAGCGTGGGGAGAGATGTCTCCATCCCGGGCTAAACGAAATCCAACTTTCCCTGACGCACCTTGTGGGATCAAAGAGAGGTGTTCCCATCTAGCCTTTTACCACTTCCTCCCTGGGGTATTTCCACCTCTCCAACGCAAACTCAGTACCAGTTCTCTTTAGGATGTTTTTGTGCAGGGGGTGTGACCTGCCCCATAAAGGAACCACCACCCTCGGGTTTTCCCCTCTTGTCAGTGGAACCTGTGACCAGTGGTTCCTTCCTGTCCTTTTCCTCCCGGAAAGTGGCTCAGGGGGCAATCTAACGTGACTTCAGACCCCTGGATGGGGTTTGGAGTAGCCCTGTGCCTGGGTAGAGAGCACAGTGTAGGCTATGACGCTTTTGGCTTCTTTTTCAGAAAGAGAGGGAGGGAGGGAGGGAGGGAGGAGGAGGAGTGGAAGGGGGGGGGAGGAGGAGGGAGGGAGGGAGGGAGGGAGGGAGGAGGAGGAGGAGGAGGAGGAGGAGGAGGAGGAGGAGGAGGAGGAGGAGGAGGAGGAGGAACTCAGCGAGCATTCATTTGGACTAGGATTACCACATACAGCCTCCCACTCCAGGATTTAGGATTATTTCAGTTTAGCTGCTAGGGCATTGCATCAACTGCCTGCAGTTTCACAGGACCTAGACTTGGAACTCCACTTTTGGCTTCAAACACTGGGTCTCCTAGCCTGGAGAGAGAAGTAGGAAACACTGGGTTTTGCCCCAAAGGATCTGTTTTTGAATAGGGTGGTGTAGGGTTGGGTGAGGAAATAAGGCTGTTGTACCTGGAGAGTCAGGGGCTAGAGACAATTCCTGCCCTGCTCCCTTCAATAGTCCTCATGCCCCCTTTTAATCTTGACACAGCTCAGCCATCTCTATGTAAAATCTCAATCTCCCTCATATTTCTCTCCCACCTTCCATTCCCCCCCCCCTAACTCTAAACAGTTCCCCTCTCTTGTGTTTTCTTTTTCTTTTTTCAAAAAAAGCATTGAGGTATACCAGACATGGGAAAGTGCACAGAGCCTTAGTGTACAGGCCAACAAGTTATGACACAGTGTACATACACATATAACCACCACCCAGATTAAGAATTAGATCACTATTGGCACCCCAGACGCCCTCCTCATATCCCCTCCCAGTCACTACCCCACCCTCCTTCCTAATGGGTAACCTCTATCTAACACTACAGATTAGTTTTATGTACTTTGGAACTTCATATAAATGAAACTATTCAGTAGATATTATTTTGTGTCTGTCTTCTCTCACTCAATATTATGTTTGTAAAATCATGTTGTGGTAACATTAGCTTATTCATTTTCTTTGCTGTATATTGTGTCATTAAATGAATATACCACACTTTATTCTTCTGTTAAATTGTTGATGGACATTCGGGTGGTTCCTACTTTGACTTATGAATAATACTGCTATAATACTTTTGTACATGTCCTTTGGTATACTTATGTTCATATTTCTGTTATGATACATATCTAGAATTACTGGATCATAGTAGGCCTATGTTTAAGTGTTAGTAAATCTGCCGGATAATTTTCCAAAGTGCTCATGTTAATTTACACCCTTGCCAGCAGTATCTTAGAGCTCCAATTGCTCTAGATCCTCATCAACACTTTGTATTGTCAAGCTAAAATGATTTAAAAATTTTAGCCATTATGGTGGGCATGTAGTGGTGGCTCATTGTGGTTTAAATTTGCATTTATCTGATAACCAATGAGATCAAACACCGTTTCATATATTTCTGTGCCACTTGAATATTTATTAAGGTATTTTATCCATGTTGGGGGTCAGTTTTTTTCTTAGGTTTTCTGTCTTATTGCTTTGTAGGGGTTCTTCATACATTTCAAATATGAGTCCTTTGTTGGTTATAGCTATTGCAAATATTTCTGAGTGTATAAATACAGAAGACTTCAGTTTTGAGGTCTTCTGAAGCCTCAGGGCCACTGGGGGAGAAGACTGTGTGTTTTGTTTTGTTTTTTTTGTCCTCACCTGAGGACATTTTTCCATATTTTGTTCAGATAGAGTGGGAGGGAGAGAGAGGAAGAGAGAGAGAGAGAGAGAGAGCGAGAGAGACATCGACGTTAAAGGGACACATCGAGTGGCTGCCACCTACACGACCAACCAGGGCTGGGGACAAACTGCAACCTAGGTACGCGCCCTTAGCGGCAACGGAACCCGGGTCTCTCTGGACCGCAGGCCGACGCTCTAACCGCTGAGCCGAACTGGCCAGGGGAAGACTGTATGTTTTATGTCTATTTTGACCACTAGTATATTCCCAGTAGGTACTCAATAAATGCATGGAATGAATGAGATGGATGAGACTCATCTAGGTAGTTTGCCATGTGTTGTGCTAATCCCTAGAGTCAAACACCAAGAGGGGCTAGAGGGAACAGATTTCCTTCCAGCCCAGAGAGCTGTGACCTTGGGAAAGGGAAGACACCCAGCTCTTCCCTATTGAAAAAGCAGAAGTAGCAGGTAGCAAGCCAGCCAGATACTTCAGAAAGAGAGACACAGTTGGTACGGAGAGGGTTGTGGCGTCAAGGAGACAGTAATGGTGAGCATCACAGTAGACCTTTGTGTGACAAGAACCTCCAAAGTTCATGTAGGCCCTCCTCCTACCTCAAGACATGTTCTCTCTTAAATCATAAAGAGCTCTTATACCCCTAGAAACACTTTTTCCCCCTCTCCAAAGAAGGTGACTTTGATTGCAGGATCTGGCTCCTACTTCCTCACTGGGAAATCTTTTTTGATTTTTAACAAGATCTGGCTTTAACTTCCACATGGCCTGTAATGTACATCTTGAAGATGGAAGACTATTGAGTCATTGCCAGCTCCTTTTCCAAGAAGTATTTTCCCACGCCTGTTGCATTCTACAGCATGTTTCTGTCACTGTTTTTCTCTCCAGTGTCTTCTCCTTCTCCTTCAGCTATACCTGGTACTAGGTCAGATCAGAGATCTCCAACTGACCCCCATTACAATAGGAGAGAGATTTCTCCACTGCATCATGTTAACAAACCCACAGAATCCCCTCCCCAGTTCCTCCAGAAGACAGTGAGGCTAGTAGTAGTTCCAGAATTTTCTATGTAGGATGAGCTTGGGGTAGCAGTCTAGATGCTGTGTCGTGAAATGGCTTTTGTGTAAGAAGCGCAATGTTTTACTTAGAACATGAGGTTGGTGGAGGTGGGAGAATTAGGGAAAGGGGAAGGTCTTGATCACTGCCAGGGACCTGTGAGAGAAGCACCTCTGTGGGGCAGGCTTCTTCAGTCTTGAAGGAAGGCCTCCATCCTCAGGTCCTCCTGGCCCCATGGCCTTCCTTCAGAGACAGCTGCTGTCTACCAATGGCTTCTCCGTGGACCAACTGGATACTTTTCCTGAAACATTATAAATTACTAGAGCCCTGTAAATCCTGGGTCCCTTAGCCAATGTGGTGTAGTCACAAGACCAGCTTGATATGGCTGGAAACTTTTCTGTTTTGTTCCTGCTAGGGATGATACCCCCTCCCATTTTTCCCTTGGCTATCACACCTCCCCTACTATCTCCCTCTCAGAGGTCAACTTCTTTCCTGCTACCCAGCGCTGAGGTGATATCCCCTTCCGGCTTCCTTCAGTTCTAGGATGATGTAGTGATGGGGGTGGAATGGGGAAGTGTGGCCATCTGTGCTCAGAGCGAGTTGCTATTACCGTCCCCTTTGCTTCTGTCTGATGGAGCTCCCCTTTCCCAAAGGCCCCTGGATTCCCTCCCTCGGATTCGTCTAGGCAGAATGGGTCCAGGTATTTTGGAGCTTCAGTCCTGAAATTACTGGGTATAGCTGGACAGCCTTAGCAGCAAGCAAAATAGTCTGGTGAACTATAACTGCAGGTAGCGAAGTCCTTTTCGAGAGGTAGAAGGGAAGGTGCCACAGCTTTGCAATCACATGGGTTTGAATCCAAGCTCGCAACATAAGGTGTGTGAACTTGGACAAGCTCCTTTATGTCTCTGAGCTACATCTATAAAATGGGGACACTA